TGGGGCTGCAGGAGGACTGAACCCCACTCTGGTCTTGTACAGTTTCTCTCTCCTCCCTGACCTGTGTGTCGTGGGGATGAAGGTGTACAATAACAGGTGCATCCACACTTCAGTGGGGATGAGATTCTCTCTTATCTATATGAAATTCTATGGGATCCTTTGTGATTAAAATTGTATAAATGCAAGGAATAATTATTAATTAGAATTGAGTGCTTTCTGGGGACAAGATGTTACTGCACTTCTTTAATGGATGAAGTGTGTCCCCTCCTTTATGTGAAACATTCAGAGATGAGCAATTGCAGAAATCTTATTGGGCCTCAGGACTACAAGTACCAGAATGCACTGGGTCAACACCAGCTTTAGTGTTCCGCCTCTTCCTGTTCAAGATGGACAAGACCAGGCATGGAATTTGCACAGCAACACTGTGTACAAAGGGATACAGAATTTTTTCCCCCTACAAACAATAAGACAAGAGGAACATTTTCTTACCTTTTGTGCAGTCTGATATAGCTTTCTCCTTCTTATCCTGCAAAAGGAAAGCAAAAAGCATTTTGGCACACACTGCGACAAGATGATCTGTACCTGACTATTGCAGGGATCTTCATGGGCCTGACTGTGCTGAAGGACTGTAAATAGACTTGGATAAAATGCCCAAGAAGCAGCAATCTGTCAATCTAAACTTCAGACTGTGAAGATCCTGGAGGAATCTGTGGGAAAGTCAAGGATCATAGGGCAGAAACACAGAACTAAATATCTTAGCCTGTAGGTTTTATTGGGAAGTCAAACTTCACAATGACTAAAGACTTGGGAAGAGCTTGAATTAATTCAATTAAATCAATAATTGATTCAATTAACCCATTAAGAGTTTGGGCAGAATGAAAACCTGGAGATCACTGACCTAGAGTATAAGAATATTAGAGAGGTGGGCCTCTGCTACAAAAAAACAAAAAACAAAGCACCTGCCCAACAACAAACCAGAAACTCAAATCGTCCGGCTTTGTCCGAAACAATTATGCACCTGTGCCGTAACCTTCAGACTTCTACACAAGCTTCTGCATCAGGGCTGCATGCAGTGCATCTCCAGGCTACCAGCAATGGATGGGTTCGGCCTAATATACTTGTGTCACGACTGTCCCCTTCGCCTGTTACTATGCTTTAACTGGGGATCCGGAGTAGCCTGGCCCGATAAATTGCTCAAAGCACCAGAGGAGCCCTGCAGTCCACACACTGTGTTTAAATAGCTACGAAGTGGACGAGGACACCAAACAGTGACACACGAATGAGCGAGTGTCTCCCAGAGTCTGGGGCCTTGGACTATACCACAGCATTAGGGCGGAGCGGTGGCTCTGTGGCTAAGGATCTGCGCCTGTGACTGGAAGGTTGCCGGTTCAAATCCCGCAGCCGGCAGAGGAATCCTACTCCGTTGGGCCCCTGAGCAAGGCCCTTAACCCCAACTGCTCCAATGGCCGACCCTGCGCTCTGACCCCCAGCTTCTCTCCCTGTCTCTGTGTCTGTGTCTCCATGGAGAAAAAGCTGGGGTATGCGAAAAGACAAATTCCTAATGCAAGAAATTGTATAGGGCTAATAAAGAAACATTATCATTATTATCACATTATCATTATCATCAATGACTCCAGATCTCCCATCTACTTGCGCCTGCTGCTCTGTGAATACGGTGCACGCCTCTCCTCAAGTTACTTCTCGTTTCTCCCCTATTAGGCAGCACAGAGCCCGTGCTGTGTCAAACAACGAGTGCGAGGGCGCGGGTCTCTGTTCCTACCAGGCATCGGAGAGGGCTTGACGGAAGGGGGAACTGTGGGGAATGACCTGCCACCCTAAGTCACCTGACCAACTGCAGGTAGACAATTGGCTGCCTGACAAGTGAAATCCAGGAAGTGGGTCGTCAACCTCTGCTCCCCAGAGGGAGAGCGGAGCCTCCGAGATCCGCTACACCAGAGGGAGCGCCCGCCAGATGAGCCTGTGAATTGTCTCAAATTTAACTGATTTTGGAAGTCTAGTCGGAACTCAAATTAAAAAAAGGGTTTTTCTTTAAACCCTTAAGTGAACCAAGTGATTTAACCCCAAGTATGCTGTTGTGCAAAGCTCTGATACTACAGAAATTATTATTTCTTAGAATAATTATTATTTTGCCTGTTATCTATTACTTTAGCATGGGTAATGCTGGGGACATTGTACATAAAAGGCACTTCATTTAACCTCAGGCCTGCCTTTGTGCGTCTTGTTTTCTGATGTCGCTGCTACGGTACCACACCCCGGGTGTTATTAAGTGTGAGACTCTTTTTACCAGCTTCAAGCAAGCGGCCGCGCGGTTGGAGAAGAGGATGGATCTCTCTTTGCTGTAGCAGACCGGGCAGATCCTCAGGGCCGCAGTGTAGGACTCCTCTGCCTCGGAGTGCTCTGGAGACACAACACACAGAGGGGCTGGAGACAACATCACCACTCCCCACGCACACAACACCACACAACAGCGCCCTCCCTGCCAGGGGAAAGAAAGGCACAGGAGCCCCAAGAGCTTGCGACACGTCCGATGAATCAACACATCAGCATCTTCGATTCAAATCAAAGGTCTACGGTGGATTTTTAGGTCACCGAACGGCGGTTTGACTGCTTGCCTGCCAGTTTACTGACATCAGAGAGAAAGCGATTCACATACTGAATTTGTAGAAAGCTTGAGGAACGGAGCCTGCCGACACATGTAGATTCTAACGGTCTGTGTTAATGTTTCACCTTAAAATGAGCTCAAACCATGTCCTAAGCTGAACCTGGAAATGTGTCAAAGAAAGCTACAAGCCAGCTGGACTCATTTCTTTCCAGAATGCATCATTTATACTTTATACAAGGGGCTGAGTCACACATCTGCTAATGTGAGTCATACTTCTGTTAAACATGAGACTAGCATTTCAATGTTAAAAAGAGCTTTAGCCACACACAGCTGGAAATAGCATTATCTACAGACGATGCCCCCCCACAAACAAAATACAGAGACAGACCTAAAGTGAACCATTTCCGGTTTGGAAGGAAGCGAGGCCAAGTTCAATCACCGCTGCATGGTTGAATTATTGCCGTTTTAGCTTGTGTGCTGCTTTCACATATTAAACGCTCAAGAGGTCTCAGACGAGAACAATCACTTGTGCCAAGACCCTGCTGGTGTTCTATCCCAGCATACCCCTCACTGCCAAGCAGACAGGAAGTGGGTCCGGTGCAGTCAGCGGGGGCTTCTGTCCCGAGTTCACAAGTCGGCGGGCCAGAACTCCAGATCTTACCTCCTTTCTTGAACTGCTCGTTCCCTCGCTCCTTCAGCTTCATGCCTTCATCTCTCCTGCTCTGGAAAACCGGGAAAGCAATGTGAAGGAAAGGTGAAGAGACCATCGGTCACCCCTATCACAGTGCGTGGGGTCTCGGGAGGTCACTGTCCCTGCCCGATACCCAAAAAAAACAAAAAAAAACAAAAGTTGAATTTTAATTATTCTACCAAGAGATTTTATGATGGGTGGAGGAAGTAACTTCTAAACCAAGAAGCCTGCTGGATAACCTGCGTAAAAACATGTTCTCCTGTTCTCCTGTCCCCCAACGTGCTCCTCAGCAAAACATGAACATGATTACTGATGCCAAGTGTGCATATTAGAAAAATACAATTTCCATAATAACCAGATGGGATTAAGCAAGGAATGGGCTTTTTGATATCCTTGAATACAAGGATGTTTGAATCCTGCTAAGGCGTCTTGAGTGGCTACAATCTATGTACACGATCAGCTGTGTTTGAAAACCTCGGTAAATGAAATTGAGTAGACTGTCAATCTCGTTTTGAAGAAGACCGAAAAAATCCCATTGTTCGGTCTTTCACAAAGCCTGCGGTGTCTGACAGAGGAACATCAGACAAAGACATCAAAGCCAGTGTTTCGTTTCTGACACGTTGTCAGCTTCCACATGCAGGAATCAAAGACAGGCGCAAGCTGCAGGCTTCTCAAATCGTGAGCCTTTTCAGCCTCCATAAAAGAAAAAAAGAAAGAACATAAAAACATTTTAGGTGATAATGGCGTTTTCTTCGGCGCAGGGGATTATTTTGCTATTAAAAACCCCTTTCGAAAACAATTTCACTGAAAGTTACAACTGCACAGATAAACGTTCAGAGCCGAAGTCAGTTTTTCGAACAGATAACTTTGAACATTTTGCACATCAAACACAAACCACAGGCTCTGCTCAGTTCTGACTGGCTTCTCCCTCCCCATCAGCTTCAGCAAAGGAGACACTAATTCTTGGGGGAAAAGCATGAAATGGGAATCTGAATTCTTCCTTTGATACTCTAAAATCACAAAGGTGCCCTTTTCAACGAAGGGGGAGGACATTTCTCCTTCAGTCTCCCTGCAAACTTCTGCACCCCAGCACGTTGCTACCACCTCACAGCCCTGTGACACAGCGATCGCAGGACACCAGTGGGGGACATGAGGAGGTGAGCATGCAGAACTGAGAACAGCAGGCACTTCTTCACACAAAGAGATTGTGGGAGTGTGGAACCAATTTCCTAGCCATGTCACTGATGCTCTGGGACGCATTAGGAAATGGACAGAGGAGTCTCAAAGCTGCAGGGGCAGGACTCCCATGGATGAGGTGTACACTGTGGGTGCACTCCCCAGCAGGGACACTGGGGCTCATTCACACGATAGGGGTGACCGGACCCAGTGGCCTTGATGATCTATTGATTATTGATTATATAGAAGCAGTATCAGCCTCCAAACGTCTGGCCGCTGCGCTGTGGCTCTCAGACCAGTCTTCTCACAGAAAGAAACACGACCCTCACCTCCTTCTCCTCCTCGGTCAGGTCTTTCTCCAGCTCCCTGAGGTGTTCCTCGTCGAACTCCGGCGCCTCTTCCGGCTTCAGCTCCAAGTCCTCCTCCTCCTCCTCTTCCCCCCTTGCCTCCGCCCCCTCCAAGCACTCTTCCCACCTCTCGGCGCCCTCGCCGTCGCCCTGCCCCCGCTCTGCTCGGCTCTGCCCGGCCCGGCCGCGCGCAGCGTCCTCGTTCCTCTCCTCCTCCTCCTCATCTTCTTCCTCCTCCTCCTCCTCCTCCTCCCTCCCCTCGACCGCTCGGTCCTTCGCCTCTGTGGACTCTTCCCACAATGCCCTCTCCCTCCCTGCCGCGCCAGGCTGTCCGGCCTCTCCGGCCTCTCCCCTCCTCTGCCCTTCCTCTGCCTCGCCCTGCAGGGTCTCCTCGCAGTCGAAGAAGCACTCGTCCTCTGGCTCGGGCCCGCTGTGCCGCTCCGAAAGGTCCAGAGTCCGGGCCAGGGCTTCCGGCAGCCGATCCCTGTCGCTGGGACACTCCGCCATGACAGCGCCTATACGGACACAGCACACGGGAAGATCAAAACTCAGCAACACAGCCTCCTGCTGTCAGAACTGAGGAGGGCTTCTGGTGAAGGGTTCTGACTTTTTACTAAAATGAATGAGACAAATATCCTACAGCAAGAGCTGAACAGGGCAGGTTTACATCCCACAGGCTTCTGGGTCAGAACAGGCCTTTCCTCAGGGCAGAGAGCCAGAGTGACTTCCTGGGTCCTGTGGAGCTGAACACACACAGTTACAGATCCCTGAGGAAGGGAAACCTGAAACTGCCAACAGAGTCTAGCACTCACCTCTAATTAATAATCATGCCTTGCATTTATACATCATTTTTCATCACAGACGATCCCATGGAATTTCATATATAAGCCCCACGACACACAGATCAGGGGAGGAGAGAGACACTGTACAAGACCAGAGTGGGGTTCAGCCAGAACAGTGGGGTGACATACGTTATTTGAACTTTTAGTGTTGTGTTTTCGCACAGAGAGATAGAGACACTTATGAAAAGAATTAACTGCTCATGCTGACACATTATTTACATCTTCCAGAGCAGTGCCTCTCAGTCCTAGCCCTGCAGGACTCCCCTGTCTGCTGGGTGGTGTTGCAGATGGGCCCTTAGTAAGCAGTGCTAATTTATGTCAGCTAACTATCTGAGGCCTTTTTTAATATTTACTTTCAGCGCCTGAAAAGATGAATGTGATTTGTAAACGGTATGACTCTGTGCTAATTAGTGAATTTCAGGACTGGTCTCTTTCAGCTGTGAGCTGTGATATAGCTATATATTATTGGACTTATTATTATTTTATATATACATATGCTAATATGTAATGTATTTATATATTATTGGACTTAAACCACCTCAATGGTGGCATGTCTGATACAGAATCATTCCCAGCTGTCTGTTCTTCGTCAGCTGATCACCTAGTAAGAGCTGTTTAGTCAGAAGGGACCAAATTCTTCGTTAGCAAGTTGAAATTCTGCATAAAGTGCATTAAAGATGTTGAAATAATATATTCCAGGATAGTTCTGAAACCAAGGACTGAGTGCAGAAAAAAAAGTCTAAACCAGTTATTAACACCAGTTAGCACTGGTGACTAAGGACTAATTATTTCTAATAGTGTAAGACCTCATTTGAATATTGTGTGCAATTTTAATCAACGTGTTATATAGAAGATATTGCTACTGTTGGAGTCATTTCAGAGAAGGGCAAGCAGGTGTATTCCAGGGCTGAAGGGACTGTTCTACACTGGCAGGCTAAAGGGACTGAATCTCTTCAGTCTTGGAAGTAGCTAAAAAACTACAAAGCAGACCTGATACAAGCGTTAAGCGTCCTCAAAGACACCGTCAACCCAGAAGACTTCTTCAGAATCAACAGTGAAATACGGACAAAAGGGCACCAGTGGAAACTACAGGGAAGAACATCTAACACTGAGAACAGGAGGCACTTCTTTACACAAAGGATGGTGGGAGTGGGGAACAAGCTGCCCAGCCATGTTTATGAACGTTGGATGAGGTCCTGGGATAATTAGATACCAAATGCCGATTGAACTGAATGAAGACGAATGAGCTCCTGTTCTTGTGTTCCCTGTTCATAAAGATGTCGTTGGCTCAAGGAAGCTCGTCTCTCTGAATAATAATCGGATCAATCGATTTCATCACAGGTCTACTCTACTAGTTTTAAACTGCAGAAACGTGAGCCCACCGTAGCCACAAGACAGAGCGAACCATACAGACACAGACCCCACAGTCTGGGGGCTGCTTGAATTACAGGTGGAGGAGCGGGTCAGTTTACAGAGATTCTTCCGGAGAAGGCCCACGACTCCGAGCCATGCAGAACTGTTCAGTTCAAGAAGGCTGGTCACAGCTCTTCCTTAAAACTACAGTAGCGAATAAGCACACAATTGCATTGTAGATAAAAGACACTTCAAGTTTAAAACCTATGCTATTTACGCTGTGAATCGGAATGTCCTCCAGAACTCGAAGGGCTGTTCCACAGTCACGCCAATGAGCACTGCCTTCTGAAAATTATTTTAGGACTGTCAAGCTTATTGCATGTGTTACTATTTTTCCAACACGCATATATGCACATGAACCAATGTGTGCCGTTAAGCCAGAAGGCCACTCGAGACTACCTGCGCTGTCCCTTCCAAATTTCCTCAGAAACATGTTAATAGAGAAAATAAAACACTTGCTCTGTCATTCCTACCTTTACGATGAAGCCAAGCAGTCGCTTTGCAGAAACACTTCCGGCCCTTTTGGCGAATCATAGCTTAAAATACAAGGAGAGGGTTTAAAAGAGCCTGCGTGGGATTCTGGGAAATGTAGTTGCTCACAAGAGAGAAGAGGGTTCTGGAAGCTGTAGTTCTTCGTCGCCCTCGGGGAAAATGCATATCTCAGGATACAGCCCAGAATGCCTGTGCTCGCTAGTGACCGCAGGAGCGCGCCACCTGGCGCCGCTCATATTAAATATTTCACCATTTACTGGTTGCTTTATCAAATCAGACGAATACGCTGATAATAAGAGCTTCATGCATAATCGCGCGTAAACATGTCAGCAAATCTCACATCTCACTGGGTTCTGCAGACGTCATTCTTGGAAAGGAATGTTTTCTAATACAAACCCATCTTTAGAGGCGCCTCTTTGTTCAAAAAGTAAAATAAAAGCCGTTGAACTTATTCCTGCTTTTTGTTTACGTTTATCTGTTCTTATTGATTCAAATTGCTCTTGCTTATCAGAGAAAATCTCGACAATGTTGTGCTTAGTCCACCCGGAGCCTGTCACCTCCTGACCGAACTTCTTCGCTCTTGAAGGATCAACTTCTCGTACCGTGTCGCTGTTGTCTCACCGTACTGAGCACGGGGGCGGAGTCACACCCATCTTCATGCGGTCATTGATTGAAAACGTGTTGGTTTGGGTCTTTTCCAGCCAGTAAATGTATACGGCAGCTCATTTCGGAGTTCTATTGCCTCTATAAAACTGGCAGTGGGGAGCTTTGAAGTACTTGGGGATGGGGGAGGAATCTGTTTGCGATTCCGGGCCCGGGCTGGTCTAGCTTCTGAGTCGGTTATTGCCGTGGGTGTATAGTAAATTAATATTACTGTAACGCAACGGGAGCTCAGGCGGGCGCCCTTGCCGCATTAGGTCGGCCCCCCACCGTCGGGGGCTCGAACCCGGGAACACAGGGAAGGGCGGTGACGTCACCGCTCTGGTAAGCCGGCTCTTACACAGTGCCTGTCGGCCGTAAGCGTTACATTACTATTATTCGAATGAAAATGTTTTCAGATCGAATTTCTATCCATCCGTTTCGTAACCACTTTATCCAATACTGCGTCACAGGGGAGCCGGAACCTATCCCAGCATGCTAGAGGGAAGATATTTAAAAAGTGGTACTTTGGGGCACTGTGTTCAATTTTGCACCTGACGTGTTGTCTGTGTAGAGTTTGTATGTTCTCCCAGATTCCGTGTGAGTTTGCTCAGTGCTCCAGTTTCCTCCCACAATCCTAAAATTGTTATTGGTGTGATTGTGTGTCCTGCGATGGACTGGTGTCCTGTTCACAGTGTACCCTGTCTTGCATTATTTGTGAGACTCGACCTTGTTGTTCTACAACACTGTGATGGAAAGTTTCCACTGTGAAAACATGCTAAACGGGCAAAAAACATTCAAGTGTGTTTCAGAGGTTTTCACCAAAAGATGTGTTCTTTAATGATTTGCTCCATAAATTCTCATCCTAGCGTTAATCCCGCATCAGCAGGGTCCGCTTGTCGGCACGCCCGTCTCCATTTGGTGGTTTGAACCAAATCTTTGAGCTGACGTTGCCATTAACTGCAACCGAGAAATACTCCAACCGGCACATCGGTCCGCCTGCCGTCGGAGTTGGAGGGGGGAGGAGGAGAACAAAGTAATGAAGCCAA